GTCAGGGCGTAAGCGAACAATGATTTCAGGTTTTACATTTTATTACGGTACAGCATTTTAGACATTAATAAATAATTAACAAATACTTTATTTAACGTTGCTATTTGGACGCACATATCGTTTTACAAAACTAAAAGAAAACAAAAGCACGTTTATGTAGTAAGAGCAACATAGTCAGTAATCTGTAAGAGAAAGAAACGTACCTTGTGTTTGCATGTATTTATACGTACACAGTTCTGTTTTAAAATTATTTAATGACATAAATATGTATTTTGCTAATTAATATTAAATAGCACGTGTTTTTAAAAAACATTAAAAACACGTGCTAAAACAGATATAAATAAGCGTTTACAAATGTGGAAATGAAGTAATTGTGAGTTAGTGGGCGGAATGCGCCGGCGGCTGCATGTCGGAGACGCGGCTAAATGCCTGATATATTATTGAGCCGCTGGGCGATGTTACTCCAGATACTTTAAAACTATTTGACAATTAATAAATTATATTTCATTATAAATTTTAAGTAATAAATTTTGTATGTGGCTATAACATTTTGTCACCTTATAACGAAATGTGCGAGTAACGCGAAATTAAAAACCTTTTACTGAATGGGCATAAGTTATTTTATCATCAAATTGATATGCCACGTAAAACGATATCAAATAAATTTAGCTACTGAGTTTCAATCTCAGAGTATCGTATGACATTTTAAACGAGTTTATAAAAATATCTGTTTCCACGGGGCATTTATAACATGAATAATATAACGTGCTATTATCCATAAGTTTACAATTTATACATATATAGAAAACTGTGTTAAATTAAAATCCGGTATTCTTAATAAATTTTTACATATATGTACATCATTAATTTTTATTGTACTATCAACTTGATAATAAAACGAATTTACGTTGTGATGGATTCTGTAATACATTTTCATAATGGGAGTTTTTCCACATTAAGAATATGTATTGCAAGCTGCCTTCTTTCAAATAATTAAAGCAATGATGGAATTCGACTTCCAGTTTGCTATTGTTTCGATGACACAACGAAGTTAATTTATAGCCTCCCATAAAACAATTCTTCAAACTTCGCCACAAAAACGGCAATGCTATTCACAAGCCCGTATGAGATAATAACGGACGGGGACATAGAATAAGCGTCTCGACGTAACGCTAGACAGTAATAGTAAAAAAATATAATAAAACCAGATGGCCACACTCCTCGATGCCGGACCATACAAATTCTAGGATCGTTTATTTAAAAATCGACATTTAAAGTTAAGTACCTTACTTCACAAAGCTGTTGCGAGTGAAAGAGACGGCAAGTTTCGAAGTGAAATAGTGAAACCGGACATTTTAATTTATGACGTCTTTTTTTTATTTAACTCTACACAATACCGATGAATCTTTCGACTAGTAATAAATTGAAAAATGGTGTTCAAACTTTGACTGTTTTTGTTCAGAGATGATCATACCGAGAAACGGACTTCACAAGTCGATGGAATTATCAGCTGCCCGTTATCTGTCGTTTTATGGGGTTGTATTAAAAAGTTATTCTTTTTGATAGGAAGCTTGTTGTGCTGGTTGTCATTGATCGCTTGTGATTTAAACGAGGCGTGCTCGACACTTCACAACAGTGGCCGGGTATGGAACCGCAACCGAGGCGTGCCCGACACTTCACAACAGTGGCCGGGTATGGAACCGCAACCGAGGCTTGACCGCCACGTCACAGCAGTGGCCGGGTATGGAACCGCAACCGAGGCGTGCCCGACACTTCACAACAGTGGCCAGGTATGGAACCGCAACCGAGGCGTGCCCGACACTTCACAACAGTGGCCGGGTATGGAACCGCAACCGAGGCGTGTCCGACACTTCACAACAGTGGCCGGGTATGGAACCGCAACCGAGGCGTGCCCGACACTTCACAACAGTGGCCAGGTATGGAACCGCAACCGAGGCGTGCCCGACACTTCACAACCGTGTCCGGGTAAGGAAACGGAACCGAGGCGTGCCCGACACCTCACAACAGTGGCCGGGTATGGAACCGCAACCGAGGCGTGCCCGACAATTCACAACAGTGGCCGGGTATGGAACCGCAACCGAGGCGTGCCCGACACTTCACAACAGTGACCGGGTATCGAACCGCAACCGAGGCGTGCCCGACACTTCACAACAGTGGCCGGGTATGGAACCGCAACCGAGGCGTGCCCGACACTTCACAACAGTGGCCGGGTATGGAACCGCAACCGAGGCGTGCCCGACACTTCACAACAGTGGCCAGGTATGGAACCGCAACCGAGGCGTGCCTTACACTTCACAACAGTGGCCGGGTATGGAACCGCAACCGAGGCGTGCCCGACACTTCACAACAGTGGCCGGATATGGAACCGCAACCGAGGCGTGCCCGACACTTCACAACAGTGGCCGGGTATGGAACCGCAACCGAGGCGTGCCCGACAATTCACAACAGTGGCCGGGTATGGAACCGCAACCGAGGCGTGCCCGACACTTCACAACAGTGACCGGGTATCGAACCGCAACCGAGGCGTGCCCGACACTTCACAACAGTGGCCGGGTATGGAACCGCAACCGAGGCGTGCCCGACACTTCACAACAGTGGCCGAGTATGGAACCGCAACCGAGGCGTGCCCGACACTTCACAACAGTGGCCAGGTATGGAACCGCAACCGAGGCGTGCCTTACACTTCACAACAGTGGCCGGGTATGGAACCGCAACCGAGGTGTGCCCGATACTTCACAACAGTGGCCGGATATGGAACCGCAACCGAGGCGTGCCCGACACTTCACAACCGTGTCCGGGTATGGAACCGCAACCGGCGATGATTAACCGCGGGGGTGGTTCGTTAGGAATTAATGACGATCCTAATATTTAGCCATTTCAGCAGTTTTATATCGCTTTTTCATAGGATAGAGTGACAAGCGAGCACACATTCCACCTGATGGTAAGTGGTTGCTGCGGCCCATAGACATCTACATCTATCCTCGATTCGGTCGGCACGAATGGGTCGGCCATTCGTGCTACAATTATACTACTAATATATCTGCAGCATGGCTCTACCACGTAAGCTTCGCTTGGTTCAACATTGCATAAGTAACGTCAGTATCATTTATTTGTCAACGCGGGTTTTAGAGCCTCTTACAGGAATATTATAAATAATGGATGATAGAAGCTTCTTCGTTGACTTTTAGAATGTTTTAGCGGAGTCCACGTAGTCGAAGACAATGATCACATAAACAGGTAAATGTTACCTGTTGGTAGTTCTTTTTTAAATATTTGTTTACGTTATTTTATATTTTTATAAAAACTTAGTTGCTAACAATCAATAGTCGGTATATCATCATCAATTTTTTTACTTCTCATGCGGTAAGATTATGGAACGAGCTACCGAGCAGTGTACGTACAGCCACGAGCAAGGCATCGTTCAAACGCTTACTCTGGAATCATTTTCTGGCATTGCAGGAGTAGTTTGTGGATTAACACTTTTTTATATCCTTAAATCTAACTGTTCCCTTTTCTTGTTTTTATTTGAAATATTTTATAGGTGTTTGAATCAGAAACAGCTGTATTTAATTATGTATGTACTATGTATGCATATATACACAGGCAGTATTAAGCAAATACATGTATATATATATGTGAGCCGTGGTAGCTCAGATGGTTAACGCTTGCTGTAAATACAACAGAACGCGAGTAATCCGGGTTCGATCCCCGCCGGCACCAATGAAATTGTTAATTACAATTTAAAGTGCTGATTTACCACGTGCTTGGTGGTGAAGGAAAACATCGTGAGGAAACCTGCATGTCTGAGGAATAAGAAAAAAAATATTTCGAAGACAAGTTCGCCAACACGCATTGGGGCAGCGCGGCGGACACTTCCTTGCCCTAAAACTCTCCCAGAAAAGAGGGGGAGGCCTGTGCCCAGCAGTGGGACGTATAACTAACTATATATATATATATATATATAAAATATATATGTGTAATTATGTTTATAATATGTATCGTAGTATGTAATGTGTATGACTACTCATAGATATTTTAACTCAGTTGCACTTTGCACCACCAATATCTTCTCTGCTTAGCCTGGAGGTAGACTGGTAGAGAATGCCTTGTTGCATTAACTCCGCCTTTTTGTACTTAGCGTGCAAATAAAGCGTAAATAAATAAATCATTATCACAGCCTAAAAAGTCCACCGCTGAACACAGGCCTCCCCCATAGATTGCCTCATAGGGGGACTTTGTCATAGCTGACACGCTGGGCGAGCGGCTCGTCAACAGCAGTCTTTTGTTCTTTTGAGTTGTTATTACGAAGACGCTGCAGCTCATCAGCTGTCTCAATTTCCCTCTGTCGTCTATTCCGATACCCACGGTACGATATGGGATAGTGGATATTCTTACACGGCCACTACACGGTTAGTCGGTATAACGTAGATAGAAAGGTAGAGTTTTGACATTAAAGAAAGTTTTTTGGAATACATACAGACAATATTCAAATATTTGTTAGAAACAAAGTTGGATATTTAATTACAGTATAAAAAGTCGTTTGAGTTTTTTCATAGTTGACGGCTCCGTCGCGCAGTGGCTTAGTCATGAGTGGTTGCGCTGGGGGCCGCTGGTTCGAATCCTGTTCGGAACAAGTATTTGTATGACCTACAAATAATTGTTCCGGGTCGGGATGTTTGTCCTCGTGCAATTCATGTTTGTAGACTGCCCCCACGGTACAGGAAAAAATCCTAGTGTGGGGTAACGTTTAAAAAAATAGTTGAGTGTTACAACATCCACGGGACGGAATGAGACAATTAAAGACATTCTATCGCACCACCGCCACATGGCACTGGTAGATTTCTTGCAATCTCCTAAGTGCCAGAAGAGAAAAGGACCAGCAGACAAGAAGCAGCATCGAAGACAAGTTATTGTTTGTGTCTAGCAGTAGACTGTTAAGGAAGAAAACAGAAAACATTTAAAAAATATAGAAATCTTACCTGTATGTGTTCTCTTGTGTATCTTAAGGTTCTCAGACCTCGCGAATACTTTGCCGCAACCGGGGAAGGGGCAGGGAAATGGTTTCTCTCCAGTGTGCACTCGAATATGATTGACCAGCTTGTACTTCGCCTTAAAGGGCCTACCATTTCTTGAGCAGCCCTGCCAAAAGCAAGCATGCGTCGTACATTCCGGTCCTCCGACGTGCTCTACCGTTAAGTGGGTCACGATCTCGTGCATGCTCGAAAACAGCTTGTTGCATAGTTTCCGTGGTGGTGGTTGTTCGGGATCGAGCCACTGGCAGCGCATATCGCGCCGGGGTGGGGCACGTACGTAGCGTAAGAAGGCATGCGGCGCGTGGGCGTGCGCGTGTGGTACTAGTGGCGGTGCACCACCTTGGTAGTGAACATCGCCACGCCAGTCCCAACTCTGCTCTAATGGTTGCTGAGGAAACAACTCCCCGCAGCCACCGTACTCTCGTAAATATCCCGTCTGATAGGAGTGTAGTGGATAGGGTTGGTAATGCGGCGGGTGGTGGGGCGGCGGATGTGGCGCAGCAGCTCGGTGCTGCGCGCCTACGCCGCACCCAGGTTGCGGGGACATCTTCAACCCATACGAAGCGAGGTGGGCGTGGTTGGTCTCCAGAAACGCGTTCATGGCGGGGGTGGCCGGCACCGGCGCATAGCCCCATTCGCCCGCCACCATCCACGCGGCGGGGACTCCCCGCTGACTCGACGCTGGTTGTAATGGTCACTAACAGTGTCTTCGTCACTTATAAGACGCACTTAGGTATGTCCGCAGCATTGTGGTCTTGATAAAATTTTTCTTCTTCAGGTTCCTGCCTGTTAACAATAAACGATCGTATGAATCAAAAACATTTAAACAATTAGGTTAGTTAGATACCTGCTCATTCGTTAAACACACAACCAGACCTGACCCAAGACGATGTTAACCATCCGAAACAAATTTAAAGCCATTTCTCAAAATAATAATAACACACATTCGTGCACCCATAGCTGACATCGAACATTTATTTATAATAAAAAATCTGAGGCAGGCACTTTTGGACATTAAATTTAAACTGTGGGTAAATTTATAGGACACTTTTATACGTCTGAGACAAAAATTCCAATTGTATTCGTGTATATTTAATTTTAGTTTACTTTTTAGACAGGCTCCAATCTCCTTTATTACTAAGGTTTAGCATCGATAGTTTATTAAAATAGTTTTATGAATGATAAAACCTGTTCTACCGTGCATAGCATACGACAGGTTATTACATTAGTTCTATCAGTCTTTTTTTATGTTTTGCTTCTTTAAGTATAAAATATGTCACGGCATGTAGTTTCACACAAGTCGTGGGCATATGTTGAAATCATAAAAGAGCAATTAAACCGAGAAGAAACTTAATATTCTATTTTAAGAAATAGTTTCAGTACGGGATGTAATGATTGAAGATTTCTCTTTAGCTGTTTATTGTTTAATAATCTTTATACATATAAATTACGTGTCACGTTGTTTGTCCGCGATGGACTCCTAAACTACTTAACCGATTTTGATCAAATTTGCACACCGTGTGCAGTTTGGTTCAACTTGAGAGATAGGATAGTTTTTATTTTGCGAATTTTAGGATTTTTAGCGTGGCAGCTATGGCAATCATCACCCTATAAGACAATATATGGGGGAGACTTATGTTTGGTAGGAGACTTGTGATAGGCTGTAATGAATGACCCATTTTTAATTATTATTTCGAGCTCATAACAGGAAGATGTTGCTAATAAATAATTACAGTTGTATAAATAATTACAGTTGTATAAATAATTACAGTTTATGAATAATATAGTTCGAATTTTAATTTATTGAGCCCTAAAACATAAGATACAAAAGGATTTTAAGCAACGCCTTGTTGACTCTTTTTTTATAGAATAAGGGTGACAAACGAGCACAGAGTCCGCCTGATGGTAAGTGGATGCTGTGGCCCAAAGACATCTACATTTAACCTGGATTAAGAATCAAAATGTAGATGCGTTGTCACCCTTGAGGACTAAGATGGAATGCCTCGATTCCAGTAAAACGGGTCTCCGGTTCTCTACACTCACCATACGAAATACAGCAGCATTAAGCTGCTATTTTACGCTGGTATTCTGTGAGAGCGTGGTCCTTTCCCGGTCAAACCGATCCATTCATGGTATAACCATGATATAGTTGCAGCAGCGACTATGCCCGTGTGTAATTTAGGATTTTAATTTTATTGCGCGGAACCCTACTGCGTGTTCTACAATATAAGTAGCCTATGTCCCTCCTTATAACATCAGCTATCTGCCAGTGAAAATATCCCGTCTAAATAAGTCCAGCCGTTTCGGAGATTAGCCGAAAGAAATAGGCAGACACACAGAGAAAATGTTGAAAAATTGTGTATTTGTTATAAGTACCCTATAAACAGTTACTGTACCGTAAGGTGATATTTTGACATTATAAACAGACACTTCAATTTTATTTATTTGTATAGATAAATTGTTTTTTAAATCATTTAAAATCATTCCTCCTAAGCCTGAAATGGCTATATCTAGTTACTAAAAAAATCGAGCTAGTGGGCGTTGTTATCTCCATTCGAGATACGGAACCCTAAAAGATTGAACCACAACTAAAATGTGGTATTTCCGTTAACCATTAAAACACAAATTATCCTTTTAAAACTAAGAAAATAAAGTTTAACTTTGTAGCAAAAACCAAAAACAATAAAATTCTTTATAAATATTTTATAGTTTTTGCTACAAATACAGCCCATATATCACTACTGAACACTGACTGGCACTCTTCTAATTTACGGGAGGCAGACGATATTACATGTTATTGAAATATTTGATTCCTTAGAACTGCAGTTTTCATCACGTTGTTTTCCTTCACCGTCAAGCACGTTGAAATTAACAATTTCATTCGCGCTGACGGGTAATGAACCCGGTAGTTAAATTTGCGATGAGCGCATGAGCTATTTACCACGGCCCATATGTATAATTACGAAAGTTTAAAAAATGTGTAATAGTTTATATAGTTAGCTAATTACAGTATAGTATATAATTTGTATTTCTTAATTTGGTAAGAGGTGATTGAATATATAAATACATTAGGTACCTAATATTTTTATATGCTTAAGGCTTGCAATACTGAAGATTAGTCACTTTCATTGATGTGTCAATCACGCTGTACCTACACTTACGTAGGTGTAAGTAGATAATCGCATTATTCCCAAATAATGTTGTTTATGAATTTGTTTGTGGCACTTCATCGCAGAACGAAACATAGAGGAACAAGCCAAGCATACCTGGACCCGTTAAACAATGTCATTCTTTAGATATCCATCTAATCTTTTCGTTATCTGTGGACTCCCCGCCGTGTGGCCGCTTCATCACAAAGCAACGGGTTGACAGATCTCTACAGACAGACATGGAGCTTCGGCATTAAAAAAATTAAGGACACAGGATTTTGGTCCTTAATTTCATTTCAAATGTGTGTGTTTGTCATTTTAAAGCTGCAAATTTTATTTTGCCGCGATTTTTGCAGCTGCTACGGGACTGCTTTCCATAGTTTCAAGGAATTAGTTTTAATCACATTAACTGCGTTATTGAAATACAGAATAGTTCCTTTAAGCCAATCTATTTAAGGGATTTTTCGCTACATAAATTTTACGTAGACTTTTTTGAATTAAATTGTTAAATTGTATTTTGAAGTTCTTGTTTCTTTATTTTTTTTTCCTTTAGGTAACGTAACGTACATCTGATTATTATTAAACTAAGAAAAAAATGTCGCACAAGTACGAGTAGGATTCGCGCCCTGAGGGTTGCGTAATAAACTGAAAGATACACTTAACTTTACAGTAGAAAAATGTTTTCCCTTACATCGTAATAATAAAAATAGTTGTAATTTGATATAGTTGCAAACTATTTTCGTATTTTTCCTAGAGAAGCTGGAGCTTTGCTTCTTGCTAAATTTCATGATTCTAGGTCAACGGGAATAACTCTATACCTCTAGGCTTGACACCTCTAAGGGAACGTAGATGCCTCTACCCCTAAGAAAAAGGGCCTTGAACGACGAACAGATGAAAGGAGAACAAACTGATCCTATAGGCGTTCCAGGTACGGAACCCTCAAAATTTTAACAATTATTTACTGTAAAAACTGTATATATATATACATTTATCCTATATCCTATCCTATTCCTATACCTTTAAACGAGCAATTCTTGTATATATATATATATATATATATATATATATATATATATATATATATATATATATATATATATATATATATATATATATATATATATATATATATATATATATATATATATAGTCGGGATCTCGGAAACGGCTCCAACGATTATCATAAAATTTTGTGTGCAGGGAGTTTCCGGGGCAATAAATCGATCTAGCTAGGATTTATTTTTAGAAAATGTCTTTTTGTCCGTGTTTTAGGCAATGAAAAAACTGCTACAATATCGTTAGAATAAGAAAGTAAATTTTGACAGTTTATTAATGATTACAAATACCTTATTTGGTATATTGGGTGGTCACAAAATCGTAATACCATGGTTCGAGCCGAGACCGACCGACCTACTTTTTTTAATCCAGTTCCTTTCTTTTTTTGAGAAAATCTATGTTTTCGAGCCCTTTTTTTTAGTATTTTTTAAAACACGATAATTTAAATTAAACTAATTGATTTTTTATTCAAATAACCAGTTCAGTTTTTTCTATTATGTCGCTAAGATCAAAAAATATTATTCGTATTTCATCAGTATGTAATTTGTATCTAAATATAATTTCCAAAACACACGAATTAAAAAAAACCGAGCGAAAAATACCGAGCAAAGCTCGGTCAACCGGGTACTATATACATAGAGTTTATATAAATTAATGCCTATTTTATAATTTGCACATAATATGTCGATTTGGGATTTTTAGGATAAAATACTTAAGTAAAAAGGGATCTCAACTTCGCTTCAGCAGCCCATCATTACTGCTCAGAGAAATCACCCGTAGTTGACGGTGAGCACGGAGCTAAATTTGGGTCCTGCGTCTTTGTATATCTTCATTATTAGTCGGCCGCCAGAGTCTCTTCTTTCAACCAGCAGGATATATCGCATGCAGGGTTTAAATTTTGAAGAAAAAGTTGATATATATTTCCCCATATACAAAAAACTTTACATGGCATTTTACATTTGAACACAGACCTTTCCAAGGTACGCCATAAAACATGATCCTGAGCCATCTGAATCCATCGACGTCCCGCAGCTCTCATCAGATCAACCGGTACAAGGCCGCCGCTCACGAACCGCATCGGTTTTCGGTTATTTGCGATAATAACGTTTTGATTATAAGAATTTCATAAGTTACAGTTCGCTGTCATAGGTCTCTCACAATTCGGCAGGGTAGTACAGAAAGGTCCTCAGTGTGTAATAATATTAGTCCTGGCATTATCTTTAACCGTCACACTCGGCAAACGGATGATGACCTGATATCTCGCACCTTTAACGCCGCTCACCGTCGCCGGTATTGGTATTTTACATCTATTCGCACTACCATACGGCAAGAAAAAAACACATTTTCTTTTATCAAATTACCCAGCCACGGTTTCTATTGTGACAAATTCTTACTACCATGGGAGACGCTCGTGTAATATAGCAGACTGATAAAGGCTGATTCAGAAAGAAGTTGCCATATTTTATGGGAATAATCATCGATCACTAGTGATCGATGGGAATAATTCATTTTTGTTTGTTAATAAGAACATTTTGCAACATGCGTCATACTTTTGAACAGGTATTGCTTGTAGGTAGGGTTAGATCTGTATGTATCATTACAGGCTGTATTTCGTCTTAGTTTTCAAAGTTGATAACGCATCTGTAGCCTTTTCGATCTGAAGTTGGTAGCAGATATCCATGAGCTCTTTACGTGGTAGAGCCACGCTGCAGCTATATTAGTAGTATAGCTGTACCACGAATGGGTCGGCTCGACCGGGGATGGACCACGCTCTCACAGAATACCACCAATGCTGCTGTGTTTCGTATTGTGAGTGTAAAGAACCAGAGACCCTTTTTACTGGAATCGAGGAATTCCATCTTAGTCCTCAGGAGTGACAACGCATTTGCATTGTGATTCTGAATTGAGGATAGATGTGGATGTCTATGGGCCACAGCATTCACTTACCATCAGGTAGACTGTGTGCTCGTTTGTCACACAATTCTATAAAAAAGAGCTGCTGTAGCGATTTAATATCATGTAGACTTGTTATCTCTTTTGTAACTATACCTAATACATATTATTAAAATATATATTTCTACTTCATGCTACATTGTAGATTAAAACAAAAAAGTTCATTTGGGTTTTTGGTCGTCCTAACAGGATAGTGTTTTTTTGCTATATCAATAGCGAAAAGAAAAAATTACTTTCAATTGGGTACTATTATTTATTAACTATGTGGATAATTTTAATGTGCTTATTAATATTAAAATATTTTTTAAGTAATTGATATCTAGACTGTATATATATATATATATATATATATATATATTGATACGTGTGCGTGCAAGCTCGTGGCACGTCGGACTTTTACCATCGGAATATGTACAAATAAAATCTGGTAACCAATTTCAATCCGAGGTCGAATCCCGACGGCACCAATGAAATTGTTAAATGATTTTTTTTACCACGTATATGATAAATGAAAACATCGTGCAGAAATCTGTGGTTCTAAGAAATAACTCCCTCGGAAATAAGATAAGTCTTATTGCAGGCTGTAACTTAACTTGTATCTTTTTGAATTAAAAATAAAACAATAATTTTCCGTCATACATGTAAAACACTATTACTCTGTATCGGGTTATATACTTATATACCATAAATTGTACCACATCCAACACTTAACCGTATAAAATTTAAGAGAAAATTTACCGAAATAAAATTTAAGAAAAATCTACTCTACTAAATTATATATCACCAAGATAATTGGTATTAGCCCAAGATCGTATATACATATTTGAATGTATTTGTTTTTAAAATATTTGTAGTGGTACTTAGGTATAGACCGAGTATCAGCATCACTTTACTTAAATATACTGCCAATGAAAATTCGCAGTACAACTACAAAATATAGGAGTTTTATTTAAATATTATTATGGCTCATCGGTGACAAAAAGCTGGTGGAAGCCAAACTTCACAGCTTAACTCACCGCCGCCAAGTTGCTTTTTTGTCGGTCTTCTACAGATTGTACTGCGGAGAGTGTTCCCATAAGCTTCATAAGCTCATACCGCCATCACCACTCCCCTATCAGAGTACCAGACGTACTACTCCACACTTGGCTGATATTCCGAATATTCGCACTAAGCGCTATAAGTCAACTTTCATAATTCACTCAGCCAAGTGGTGGAATGCCCTGCCAGCGTCTGTTTTTCCGAGTAAATATAACCTTAACGTCTTCAAGGTGGGTGCTAACAGACTTTTTGAGGGCAAATTCGCTCCACCGTAGATCTCATCTTTGCCATCAGGCCAGATAGAGGTCAATAATTATGCCTTTTTTAATAATAAATAATATAGTATCCATGTGTAAATGACTACTGTAGCTTCTGTAAAACTGTAATTAATTTAAAAAAGGTTACACAGGCGTGGATGCTGCTTCGGATTTTGAGGGGACCTCACTTTTTTAATTATACTTATTATAAGATTTTTATAAGGTATTTAGAGGCAAGTATAAATCAACTCCCACCAGACTTACAAGAATGTTAAATACAGACTTCTAGAGAGCATCCAGACTCAGTTGAAAAGAGTCTCCTAGAACCTATCCAGACAAACTCATAGGCGGCAAAAGAACTCTACTACCTTGTAAAATAAAAAAATATGAGTACCTATTATTTTATTTAAAGGTAAACTTTGCAGAAATAGTTAAGTATCTAGATCAATAATGATGGATCATGTTTAAATTGTTTTCTCGTTGTTTATAACCCGCGATATAATAAGCGTTCAACATATCTTAGAAATAATATTGCAACATCTTATGCCATGTTCATATCACAAAAATGTATAGAAAAATAAATGAATATAATAAGAAATATATAAAAAATGACGTTTGTATATATATTAACCGTTTTAACTCTATTTGCATGCATACTTTTTGTATTTACCAAATTTAAAAATGATTTTTATTATTACCCGCTTTGTATTAGCTTTATCTGTATATATTACATATACATAAAGGTACAATAGGTACAAAGATGTATGTATGAATCGGAATTTTGTAATTCATTTTTCACCTACTTGAAGACGTATGATAAATTTAAAACTTTACAAATATAAACAAAATGTTGACAATACGTTGACTATTACTTAGTGTTTTCAGTTCAATCATAACAGCTTATTATTATCGATGTTTGTCGTTTAAATTTTCTTTAACTCCAATATTATTTATTTGAGCTTGAATGCATAATGTTTTGCTTCAAACTTTAGTTCAATAATTATTATGTATCAATAATCAAAGTATACTGAACACACAAGGTTCAATAAACACATATAATACTTAATATAAGATCTCTTAACTGTCCTTTCGCTTATGTACAATAAAAAAATATTGTAATGCACGCTTGTAATGATCCATTTGAAACTTTGGACATAATATTTAACCGCCGGTGTTAAATTGTTATCAAAAATAGTTAGGAATTCTTTTGTGAATAATTTTTCAAATTAATCATTAATAATATATTTATTAGGATCAAATTTACTAACAATACGTTTATTAAAGATAGAAATTATAATAATTATTACGATTACATGTCATTACTTGTTATAAAAATAACTTTATTTGCAATAAAAGTAGTAACAGTTCGTTCATACATGATTTAGGTTATAAAAATAATCAAAACTTATTGAATACAAAACTCCCAAATCATAGAACTATAATTTATACCATAAGATTCTGAAAGATATACTATATTACATAATAAAATAATAATATTCTTACAAGTCGTATTAGTTTCCAACAAAAATAAATAACATGGATAGGTACTTAGCTTTATTAATTACGTTGAATTCTTGTTATTGTAATTCTCTAAATTGTTACGAGCTTTATACTAAGCTGAATAAACTGTATAAGATGTTTTTTATAATAAACTCGCAGATAGGGCGTGTGCTACTAGGTCAAAAAGAAATAAATTTTGTTTATTTCTTGGAAATAAGGAAATTTCGCGAATGTTTTTTATATAGTGCCTAATGCATTGATTTAGTAGTCTAAAATCGTCTTCGCATTTGATATTGCCTTTCTAATGAAACCGATGTGGGGCACATCGTTGGCTGATTTCAGTTTATAACGGACATAGGTAGAAAAATTATTTGTGTTTTATATAGATAGATGACATGTAAATAATCAAAGTGTATGACATCTAGAATTCTAAGAAAATAACTTACCGATTATAAATTAAAATCCAGGCTTAGCCTCCGTGGGTCAGCACAACAATATAGTTTTATTGATTTCACAGTTAACGAAAACACTCCACTGAACCTACAAACTCTATCAATAACGCTAAGAGTACCAAAATAGATTGTAATATTCTAGAGCGAATGTTATCACAGGGTTTGGCGCATCGTTATAATTCCGCTATATCCTCGCGGCCGGTTTCATTTGCGAGATACGATTTCCGTTGCATCGATTCGCCTATCGTTTTGTCACGCAATAATTTCGTCTTGTGAGATTGAAAGCCCTCGCGACGTGCATCCACCGGCTCCGCTGAGGTTCTCAGCATGACTGCGGACTCCCGTGACGCCGCCCCTCGCCAAAGCCGACATACTGCTTTAGAAATATTTCGTGCGGGCCCGCTCGGAAGGCGCGAACGCAGCCCTACACACCGCAGAAAGGGCGGGACGGCAGAAACTTTTTCGTCCAATGATGCCGGCGGCTACGTGAAGTTGATACTTTACGACTATCTCCCTCATTTACACGAGAAAAGTGTATCCGTGAAAGAAACAGAAAACATCGAGATAATACCAATGTTTTTAAGTAGAAAATTCCTTAGTGTAGGTGCCGTAATGTGTTCACTTTATCAGATTTACGTTGAAAGCTCGCTGTTAGCTTTCGAGGGCGCCACGTCTCGTTATTCGTTCTCGCTTAACGGTTTAGTTTTAAGATAAAGAAGGATAGCAGATAACGGGAAAATGCTTCGGCTAATGTATTTTCCTATGGGAAGGAAAACACATGTCGTCACTTTTAATTTAATACGCGTCACGCTGCGTCGCTTAGTACTCGTTGCTTCGGTAGAAACATACCGTACACCTACATATAAGTTATAAAAATTTGCTGTATATCGTTACTATTATAATAAAGGGTTAAATTTCTGTAGTATTATTTTTTACACTTTAATTATATATTTTGAAATAACTTTTACATTTTTTTAAATCACTGTCGAATAAAAAAAAAGTTAATAAGTAAATACTCTATTAACTTTTTTTATTCGACATTGGAATTAAAATTTGTATACCTTTGTGATACCTACTTTAATAATAACTGTTATGATTCATTAGGTAGATTACTTTTTAAAAGATTTAAGTAGTTAACCTTTTAGTAAATATTTTAATTCCATGAAAGAGAAGAAGTATCAATGGTACCTATTTCAAAACCCATTTACATTCTGTATGAGTCGTCTTTGACTACTGTAAATTGAAAAGAGTTTTCTTAATTAAATTGACGTTCCATTAAGCTTATAATAATATTTAATTGATTGATAAAAAATATTATGCATCTTAACGTATACCGACACGCCCACATGAAGGGCGGGACTTTGTATTAAAACAGATGGGGCGTAAGCATTGCTCTCGCGCATTCCTACATTTATCGTCAATCCCCGCACACAGTGATGTAATTAATTTAATATATTTTTACTCTTACATATATCGCCTCACGTTATAACTTTTTTGCCATGTTCGTAACGTGATCAGGATGTTATAATAAGATGATCTTTTTTCTCGTGTTTCGTGTTTTTTTTAAAATCCTTTACATGCAACAAGTTTCATTCTCTAAACGTTTAGGCACTGACTGTTCGAACAACAACGGTGTACTTTTTATGTAATATAATGTGTATTTCACACTAGTATTTTAAATCTAGGTAGGCAGGATTATAGATAGGTTCCCACCAGATACCAACATCGTATAATATACACATTACATTAAATATTTAAGCTATATTTTCATTATATTGTTTTACAGTTTTTAACAATAGTTGTGAATTTTTATAGACAGTATTTTACTTGCATTATTAAACTGAGTATGTGCATCGTAAATGAGAGTGGTAATTTGAAAAAGATGCGGTTAAATTCATATTTCTATTTGACTATATGTCTGAAATAAAAATAACTTCTTACTATTCTTAATGGTATGTATTTTACCTTATAATAAAACCGATATTTACAATTAAAATACAAATAGACATTATGTACATCGTAAGGACACATGAAGAGGCACCTCTGACACATGTACCTAATCCTACATAACGAATTAAGCGTTATATGACAGACACATATGTGTCAGTAAATTTTCAGCTATTCTATTGTTCCCTAATTTGAATTTAAAACAAAATCCGTTTTTGTTTTCTGGTAACACAATAAAGAACAATGAAAATAATTCCCCCACATGTTGCCACATCGCAGATCCACATCGGGCATTTCAATAAACTAAAATAACGTTGTTATTTACCAGGGTGTTTTTCGGGAGTGACGCTAGCTACAAATTACATCGGACAATACCTCCGCGGGACATCGACCTTATTAAATGCAGCCCACCAGATGGCCTGAGAGCCCTTCACCATAACGCGGTTCTTTCTAAACAATACATAACAAAAATATAAAAAAGAAAATTAAAGCAAAATAAAACAATTGAAATAATAAAACATCTTTAATAACTGCTATAATACGTCTTCAATATAGAAATGAACAATATTAATGTAATAGAAATTATTATGTAATATGAATTATGAACATAATATACGTACCTATTGCTGGGTGTTAAGGGTATATAATATTCAGGGTACAGAATCATATGGAAGATGAAAGCAAGATCAATGGAAAGTGTCAGGAAGATAATAAAGCGTTGGTTACTCTTGGTAGTTCCCAACTGTCCAGCTTTCACAACTGTCATAATAATGATACAATGGATACAAGTGTAATTGAAATGTTAATATAATAACATTGGAAGCAGGCTTCAATACTTGAAAAGTGCGGACAGTAATTCAACATTAAAAGATTAAAACTTCCTCCCTTATCGTAAGTGACGACGGAGGAAACTGAAACGGGAGATGGGCAGATGGTGCAACATCTTCCTAATAACAACTTAAAGTTAATAAAAGCAACTGTGGTTGCCAAGTCGCCCGCCAAGCGTGGTCAAACTATGTTCAGTAGTAGACTTTCGGAGGCTGTAATGGGCGCCCCCCTTTCTTTGCGCCCCCCTTTCTGCCAAGGGGATTGCGTTCGATAAGGCTTAGAGATCTCTAGTTAGACCGTTCAGCCACTCCCAAAAGGTGGTGTTTAGTGGGTAAAAGTCTCCACATAAATACAGAGCCGGCTGTGTGGTATGCTATGAGCATTCACCACCTCCCACTCCGTCACAGGAGAGTTGTCCTTATTTGCTTCGGGCGCACAAAAAAAAGCTGTAATAGATAAAGTTCTTATTCACCACTCTGAACAAAATTATCGTGGGGAAACCAGCATGTCTGAGATATAACTAGAGCAGTACTACGGACTAAATTCTCCATAACAATTATCAATCATAAAGAAGTCCGGAGCACAGCAGAAGCACGCAGCAATGTAAATAACTTAATCTGTCTTTACGTCCGCATTAACCTGTCTATTTTTTTTTCTAAGTAATAACTTCACTTATTATTTACATAAATTTGACCGCAAACGCTGACATTTTCGGTACCTCAATTTTCCGCATTGATTAGAATCAGAAAGCGTAAATATTTTTAAACGCTTTTAAATTCCTCAACAGATCTACCTACGGGATATTTAGCGGTAAATTGGGCCCATTGAAGCAAAGAACAAAAACACTCTACTTTTGAGTAGTAAACTTAAAATTGAATCTATGAAAAACTACATAAGTTACAGACTAAAACCACTCAATCGTAATCCATCGATAGTGTTTTTGATTCCCAGTGATTTCAGGTGATGCGTTTTAATTCGTTAATACCCGGCAATGCATATGTATTCTTATATGTATACATATTTTTGTTTCATTGAATATTCACCCCCATAACATATATTTTAACAGTAAATAAAAGCTTTTTTTATTATTTTGATTGTCTTATTTTCCTTTTTTTGTTGATGATGATGATGAAGATGTTATTATGATCGAATACTGAAAGAACAAAATAGAGTATTTTCCTTTCTTTGTCTGCTCTTAATTTAGATTATGAGTAAATTAAGCTTTTAAAAAATAAGGGTTAAATGAAGTTTTCAACTTTTGCTATTTCTACGCCTTTCAGATAGATAGATGTATATAGATGTTTTCTAATATTTTTTACGCAACTAGTAAACATTATCAGCTAACTTTTGTTTCAACTGAGATTTGACCATAATTTCTATGCGTAGCAGTGAGACAACGGAATCTAAAGTTATCTTAGAAATCAATTTACCTTAATAAAATAATAAACGTTTTATTTGGTAGTGCCAAGCTGCAGCTCGAAGAAATCTAAATAACAAGGCAAATTTCTGTGCTGCAGCTATATTAGTTGTAGTACGAATTGGCCGGCTCGGCTAGGGTCTCACAGACTACCAGCGTCAAATAGCAACTAAAATGCTGTTGCATTTCGTATGGTGAGTGTAGAGAACCGGAGACAATATTCCATTTTAGTCCTCAGGGGTGACGACGCATCTGCATTCTTATTCTTAATTGAAGATAAATGTAGATGTCTGTGGGTCACAGCTTCCAGGTGTGTAGGTATAGGTTTATCATCATCATTTGTCACTTTTATTCTATAAAAACTAAAGAAAAAATTTGAAAAACGGTTGACCCTGCAGGCCATTCCGGGAACTTCTTGCTGTGTTTGATCTCAAAACGCTCTACAAATATTTTACGAAGTACCTAATAGTAAACTCATTACATCAAAAACGATCCGAGCATTAAAGAGTTATTAAAAAAAAACACGTTTTTTAATATTTTTACAACGATAACTTTAGCTAAAAGAACGTTTTAAGCTGTGCAAATCTTTAAAGCTAAAATATACATTATTGAGATTTCTTTTAAAAACATTTCGCCTAATTAAAAAAAGATACATTTTGAAAGGAAAATTGATTAACACAAATTATCAATGTCAGTTAAATCTCGTTGATGTCTTATATATGTACACACAACAATTCACAGATTGATACTGTCACTAAATATTTTTTGTTATTAAAGCATTTTAAGTAGAAACTTCTTTGTATGAATGAAACACGCCTGGAAATCACCTGCAAAGAGGAAATACTTCGCATTATTCGCATTTCGCTTGCAAGAGAAACAGAGGGGGTCCTCTTGTAAGCGAATTGCTATGGTAGAAAAACGTCACTATTCTTCATTCTGGTTTGTTATTCGGGTAATTTTTTAAACAATATTTTAGTCAATTTAAAACTACTATGACGCTTTTAATTTAAGCTTAATTTTTTACGTGGTAGAGCCATGCTGCAGTTATATTAGTAGTATAGTTGTAGCACGTGTGGGTCGGCTCGACCGGGGAAGGACCACGCTCTCACAGAATACCAGCGTGAAATAGTAGCTTAATGCTGCTATGTTTCGTATGGTGAGTGTAGAGAACCGGATACCCTTTTTACTGGAAAGAGATTCCATCTTAAGTTCTCACGGATGACAACGCATCTGCATTTTGATTCGTAATCGAGGATAGATGTAGATATCTATGGGACACAGCAACCACTTACCATCAGGTGGACTGTGTGCTCGTTTGTCATCCTGTCCTGTAAAAAAAAACTTGATGATTAAATGATGATTTCAGAATATACATCCAGTACAAAATATACATATGTACGTCATAATAGGTAAAAGTAGTAACGCAAATGTGAAAAAAAAAATAGAATAAAAGTGACTGACGAGCACACAGGTCCACCTGGTGGTAAGTGGAGGCTGTAAGAATCAAAATGAAAATGCGTTG